CTGTCTCTATCTCTGTCTCTGTGTTTTTCTGTGTGTCTTTGTCTCTCTCACAAACACATACATACATACATATACTCACACACATACAACATGGGGGAGGTAGTTTCAATCTGAGATGCTGTGAGAGTTTGAATAAAATTGATGCCTTATTATGTTGCCAATCCAGAGTCAATGGGAAAGTATTGAAATTGCAAAATGGAAGGATGGCTAGTTTTCCTCAAGATCCATCCATAATGAGTCACCTGCTTTTATTGCAGAACATTTAGATCTAGTGTTGTAATGAAAACATGAAACAGTGTATCCCCAATAATTCTTATAGCTGTGAAAATGTGCTTATTTGCTCAGGCACACAGTACCCTTTGAGGCTTCTTCCAAACACTGTAATTTGCTGTAAGAAGTTTCAATACTATTTTTTGGAGAAAAGATGCCCCATCACCAAAACTGCAGCGATCAGTTCTAATGCACTGATTATTACCATAGTCCAGTGATTTAATGTAGAGTGTACAAAGCTTTTTACCCTTGTGTTCCACCATCTGTAAAAGGCACATATTTACTTCTCGATGCAGTATGAGGCATTGATTTTAATTCATCAGATCCTCTATCTTTGGAATTCATTTAATTTGGATATTTCCTGTTTCCCTAAAGACCGCTTAAGCCCACTGCAGTTTTTTGGTATAGATAAGGTAGAGGGGAGTTATCATCTATTAGTACATTTTTTTCTCTTTAAGCAGAATCATTGTCTAGCCTTTTACTCAAATATTTTTGATTCATCATGTGCTGTTTTTAAGTAATATTTTATATTTCACAATTAATAGCAACCCACACTAAAGTTTTACTGTGATGCCACACTGTGGATAGGTATTGATTCCACAAGCGTAGATCATAGCTCTTCCACGACTTCCCACACTCTGTGATTTTTGTCCATATCTTTTTTTGTAAATACTGCATATAGGCATTACCCAGTACACTGAAGGTCTTCCCCTCTGGCTCTTGTGATGTTGAGTACCCACACAGAACTCAAACTGTCTTTATTTTGCCCCTCATTGTTGCTATGTGATCCATTAACTTCCTTTTCCAGGCACACATCATCCTTGATGATGACTTTTATGATACTTCTTTTACGTGAGCCATCACTAGTGATATTATCCTTGGAAGAATGAAGGCATCTTGATCATTTGCAGGGTAGTATTTCAATGATCATCAACCCTTAGGACCACATTTACTTTTTTTAAAGAATGAAATATTGAAAACATTATTTCGTCTAAAAAATAATAAAGAAAATACACAAACTTATTGAATACTTACTATGTTCAAGGTACTGTGAAGTTAAACACACCTGAGTTCAAATCTAAGATCTTCTACTTACTACTTCTGTGACCTTGGAAAATTCACTTCCCACCTGTGGGCCTCAGTTTCCTCACATGTAAAATTAGGGAGTTGGTCTATGTGACTTCTAAGACCCCTTCCAGCCCTAAATCTATCACCCTATGATCATAGTGTAAAGGTGTGTCTCTTTGAGACTTTGGCAGTTTGCTAAGGCCCTTGCAATAGGATCATAGATAGATAAATGATAGATAGAGTAAACACTCATTAAGTGCTTACTAGGTGTCAGGCAGGAAATACAAATAGAAAATTATCACTAGCCTGAGGGAGCTTAAAGTCTAATGGGGTGATAAAGCGCATAAAGGAGAGTTGGAAAGACAAGAGTTGGTATATTGTAGAAAGGTATGGAGGTGACCAGAAAGTGAAGTGGAGACATAAATCTGGGCAAACCTTGCCATTCACAGCCCCCAATGTTTCCAGGGATAAAGTTCAACGTGTAGATGATAACTGTTGATCTGGAGTTGGAAGGAGCATCAGAATCTAGTTAGCCTAGTTTACATCTGAGAAAATCAAGGCCCAAAGTGATTGAATTTATCTCCCATAATGGTCCCATGAACTAATTATTATTACATTTGAAAAAAAGTTATCCTAATTCATTTTTGTATTTTTCCTAATTCAAAATTTGTAGCAAAATACGACCTTTGTACACAGATCGTAATTTAAGCATTTGTTCACTGCTATGCCTTTTCGTCAGCAGTGTGAATGTTCCATCATATGAGGTAAATATGTGTTGATACAAACATTCCAGGCCATAGTTACCTCATTGAAAACAATGTTGAACTGGAATTGATTTCAGTTAAAACAACAGTTGGTTCAAAAAGTATGCTTTTCTTTTGTAAGTCCTTTACCTTCCTTTGGCCAATGTGTGCAAAAAAATGGAGAATACTTTTTACCTCAGGGAACAGCAACTTTTGCCTTGCTTTTTAAATAATAGGGTAAAAATAGGTGACTTTCATCTATCCTTCACTCCCTGTAGACAATATGCATAATGAAGAGAAGAAATAAGTTCTCTTAAAGCCACTAGGAAAATTGAAGTTAGGACCATGGGATTTCCAGGAAGAATGGACTATTTCCAAACACTAAGTAAAGTGTGAAGAATTCTGCAAGTAGTATGGAGCTAAGATAGCAGAACCCTAAAGCATCTTTTCTATCTCCAGTGGAACTGAAGAATTTTTACTATTCTCTGACATAAATAAATTTTTTCTTATTTTAATAATGAAATATCCATTACCAAACATTTAATAAGAGATTACAATGTGCTAAATGCTGGAAATACAGTTACAAAGCAAAAACAATGCACTGACCTCAGTGAGCTTCCATTCTAGTAAAACCTTAGAGCTAAACACTTCTTTTTTTACTTCCAAGCACAGCAATTTGTGTCTATTATCTATTAGTCTGAGATAGTAAGAATTCTCTTTTTATTAAAGATCATTTGGACTTTTATATGTCCCAGCATCTAAAAATAGGAGTGACCTTAGATGTCCTCCAGGCCAATTCTCTCATTTTGCCAATGAGGAAACAGGCAAAGTCTTGCCCAAAGTCACATAGGTAGTAAGGAACAAACCTTGTATCCAAACTCTATTCCTCTGATTGCAAATGCTTGCTTATTACCTAACACTATCTTTTTATGCCAAATTACAGCCCGGGGAGAAAATGTATCCTATGCTATAAACCCCAAATAATAGAGGTACATGATGGAAAGCCTGAAAAATCTTTAAGTACAGTTTCACTAATGTTATGCTATAATACATAACCAATTTAATTTGGAACTAAGAGTCGGTTGTCAAGTAATACATTTATAGAGCTAATATTGTTAACATCTTAATTTTCCTCTCCTCTTGATTTAAATTACAATTTCCTTTAAAATGAAATCCACTTCTGAAATGCCTAATGGATTTTACTTTAATTTTTCTGTTGTGTTATCTTTTATAGCTTTCCCCTACTGTCTCTCCATTTAACCCCTCTCTGGGACACTTGCAAGAAAATCTTAATGGGGATCACAGTATAGACCCATGTAAAAATTAAGTGAACTGCAATATCTTAACTGGAAATTGATTAGAAAATACAATGTTCAAGTGATCATCAGCATAATTGACCTGAATTATTTTCCTGACACCATAAAATAATCTATAAAGAGCTTTTGATTTGGGAGAACAACCTGGGTTCAAGTTTTGGCTTTGCCATTTACTACCTGTGTGATTTAGAGAAAATGCCTTCACTTTACTTTAGTTTCTTCATCCATAAAATGAAGAGGTTGGACCAGATCGACCTCTAAGGTCCCTTCCATCTTTAAATCTATTATCCTTTGACATATTAATTTTGGCAAGCCTGTCATTTTCTTCAAAGTCACTTGAATTTTCCTTGAAACTAACGGTTGCCATGGCATTTCAGTGTCAGATTTTATAAGAAATGATAAGACTGGTTTATATAAATCCTTTAGCTATAAAAAGAAAATTTTAAAATGGATGAACAAAAGTATCACAGTGACCATCTTATAGGATTTACAAAGCAGCTAAGTCTGCAACTTCATCAGTTCCTTTCTGTGTCTCATTTTTCTCATACATAAAAATGATCACAATGACTACTGGCTATCTCAAAAGGTTATTGTGAGCAGCTGAACTGAGATAATGTCTTTGTAAAGGGTTATCAGATGTTAATTCGCATGCTGTGATGGGTTCACCTAGAGAATCAGATGGTTTGCTTTTCTTTTTATTAATATGTTTTATTTGGTGCCTTTTGTCTTTATGTTGTAGCCATGGCAAAAAAAAAAAAAAAAAAATTCCCTCCAGACTGAACCTTTCCTCGTGACAAAGCAAAATAATTAAGTAAAAACATCCAATGTGGTGACCACATCTGACAATCTAAATTATATTCTGCCCTAGTAGTTCCCCACTGATAGCATGGTTTTTCAAAACAGAACTAATATTCTGAGTTTTCAAAACAGAATAATAATATAGGGGAAAATAAAATTATCTTTCTTCTGCGGATAGGCTTCACACAGACACAAATATACACACACATTCCCACAAACCCCCATCAAGTTGTTTTATTTTTCAAGTGGTTATTTGCAAGGAAACTCATTTTTATTATCAAACTGTTTTGCTCAAATGCCATTGTGTCTGCCTTGGTAATAATAACATTGTTAGGGCTACACTAGCTTGACTCCAACAGTTCTGTCTCCCAGGGTAATTTTTGCAGTATGTTCTGCACTAGAAGGACTAGAAGGTCACTAGAAGGACCTGGCATATCAAAAGATGGAATTTGAATATATATAAGTACCTATATGTACATATATGTATATATTTACTACAATTTCTCTTGTCTATCCAAATACACTTTTTACAAATAATTACAAGTATATATTACCATTTTACTTTGAAATATTTTTTATTCATCCTACTGTCTCTATTTTCTTTCCCTTGAAGATTAAAAAAAAAAAGTACACTGAGTCAATACATAGCTTGGTCCTCGGAAGTATTCTTAAATCCCAGTTCATCTTAATTTTCTTATGCCTTAGACTTTTATTTAAAAGTTAATTTTAGTGCTTATGTTGATCTCATGTGACTATGTTGAAATGTGGCAAAGGGCTCTATTGATTCTGGGATTTTTCTTCATAGTGGCTAGTATTCAGAAGCTTCCTGCAGCTTCTGTTTTAACAGACATCAATTTCCCAATGAAAGGAAGGAAAGGAATGGTCGACTGGGCAAGAAACTCAGAAGACAGGGTAGTTATTCCTAAAAATATCTTCACACCAATGTCTTCAAGAGGTAAGGATATATTAGATGACCATATAACCAATATCTGATTTTTTTCAATATGTAACTGTATTATTGGAACTAAAGTATTTTTTGCTAACAAAATTAAATTCCATGTTAAATAAGCAATCAGTCAGTTAAGTAGCCTTTATTAAGCACCTGCCTTGTTCAAAGCCTTGAGCTAAACACTTGGGATAATTAAAAACAAAAAGTCCCTAATCTCAAGGAATTCACAGTCTATTGGGGGATATAATATATAAATAATATAAAAAAACAAAACTATGTACAAACAAAATATATACAGGATAAATTGGGGGTAGCCTCAGAGGGAAAGCAATTAAAATTAAGGAGGACTAGGAAAAACTTCTTGCAGAAGTTAAGACTTTAGCTAAGACTTGAGGAAAGCCAGGGAAGCTGGGGGGTGGAGATGAAGAGGGAGAGAGTTCCAGGAATGGGGGACAGCCAGTGAAATTGCTCAAAATCAGGAGATGGAGTATTATAAGCAAAGAGCAGCAAAGAAACCAGTATTACCGGATAATTAAATAGTATACATAAAGGGAAAAAAGAAACATTGTTATACTTTAAAAAAAATTTCCTCAAATGTGCTACTAAGGTGAGATAATGTTTGTTTATTCTATGTGGTACAACATGTATGGGTAAAATCTTTGATTCCATAAAAATGGAAAGAAATAATAAAAGATCAGTATATATGATAAACTCCTATTTTCAGAAGAATATATTTTACATGGTACAGTTAAAAGTGTGCTCAATTTAGAGTCAGAGGAGCAGGGTTCAAACCCTGGTTCTTCTACTTGTTTCCTTTGTGACATTAGACAAGTCCTTTAATTTGTATGGGCCTCAGATTCCTTAGCTGGAAAAGGAAGGTGCTCAACTACATGAACACTAAGGTCCATCCCAGTTCTCAATCTATCATCCCATGATTTTTCAGACTTAGTACATATTTTCAAAAATTTCATTGTATCAAATGAGGATTGGACTTGATAATCACTAAGATAACTTTCAGCTTCAAATCTTTATGATTTTATGATCCTTGACTTAATTTCCCCTTCTTGCTTTTGAGGATACTCTCCATGACCCTTCCAAGGTCTTTTTCATCAGTTACATGTCTGTGGCTTCCATTAAAGCTGGTGCCTTATGTCAGGGGCAGAACAGTGGAAGAAATAGTGTAAACCCTGGCATATGTCTACTGTCCCTCCTTTGGCCCATATGTCAGAGAAACCAAATAAAGGTCCCTAAAGTCAGCCAACCAGTCAGTCAAGAAACATTTATTTTGTGCCCTCCATGTGCTAGGCACTATGCTAATCACTAAGAATACAAAGAAAGGTCAAAAAAAAATCCCTGCCTTTAGGTAGCTTATATTTTAATGGGAGATAATGTAACAATAAGAAAAGAATCTCTTCTTGTTCATCTTTCATATTGCCTACATGAGTGCTGGCAGTGTGGGAAAGCTGGGAAAAGTCTAATAGGTTGCAGTATTTCAAAATGTACCATTTTTCTTGCTATTGTTTTAATATGCTTGTTTTTTTCCCTTTAGAATTAGATGAATCTTCTGTGTTTGTCCTTGGAGCAGTTCTATATAAAAATTTAGATCTTATTTTGCCTACTTTGAGGTAAGAAAAATATAAAGATGCTACTTATTATACAGCATATTATGGAAAAAAGTCAACCCAGTTGACATAGGTTTGGGTAAACATAGATAGTTTTTTCTTGTTTTTTTCCAAATGACATGTTAAACAATTTTATTTTAAAGTTAATTTAAAATGCATAATATGCTATACTTATATAGCATGGAATAGTGGATAGATAACTGGCTTCAGGGTCAGAAAGACCTGGGTTCAATTTTCCTTTTTGACACAGACTGGCTCTGTGACCCTGGGTTCTCATATTCCCAGGCAACTCTCTAACATCAGAAATGTAAATCTACTTTGATAGGAATTTCCTCATCCAGAGTTCTCCACCCCCAAGGAAATAAAAACCCTGACCCCATCCCAATATGATAATAATCCATTCATTAAATTGGATTATCTGATTATAGCCCCTGTGATTCTTTTTTAACTAATTCTATCTTGACTCAAAGTAAAAAAAAAAAAAAAAACCTCAAGGCTATTTAATATAATGAGTGGTAGAAAAAAATAAAAACTAACCCCTCTTACTATTTGTAATTAATGCTATCACTCATCAATGTAATATGATCACTTAAAATACTCCATGCCTCCCTTCATTTGTGCAAGATCTCAATTTACCTCTAAATACATTTTCAATTACATCTACATTAAGAAATAATGCTTGTGATCTGTTAAGAGACTATTTTTGGGCAAAACCCGTTGATTTGTACTTTCCTTTTTTTTTTCTTCCTCACACATCTCCAGAAATAATGTAATTACAAAGAGGAATCACTAATCTTACCTTATCTCATTAAAGCATCTTTTTGCCTCAAGAATTTCCCATAATTCATTGCAAATATGCTTTAGTATACCTACTGATAGCACTTCTATCTGCTTCTCTTTTCTATACACCTCTTGGAAGGAGGGATGTTAATGAGGATTTCTAATTACCAGCTATATTGTATTAAAATTACACACCACCCTGCTTATTCACTCTTTTATGAGTAAAGCTTTAAGCTTTTTTTTCTTTCTAGAAAATATGTGGATGATGTGTATTCTTAGGGGGAGATAACAAACAGTATAATAAATAAAAACAATTAGAGCTCAACCCAGCATAAAGCAGATTCCTGCAAAAGCTTCCAGGCCTTTCTAAACTCTGCAGCTGCAGTAAATAGTCATGATTCTTAGGGGAGAATCTTTCTGCAGGAGACACATTATCAGCGTAGCCAGTGAGTCACCCAGATTTTCTAACATGGAACAGGCTCTTCCACCACCAAAGAGACATTAGTCAGGCAGAGAAAATGTACAGAGGGGACACAGTACAGCATTTTCATTAATGCCCTTCTTGCATGGGATTACAGATTTCACAGTCAGCTAGATGTAGGTTTCATTTTGCTTTGTTTAGAGGGGGAGAAGGGATGGTGTTTGTGTGTTAATGAAAATGCTTACCTCCGATTTCCACAATTGCTTTAAATATAAAACATGTTTAGCCACCAACATTTTCTCTTAGGCTCTAGGCCTACAAGGAAACCCTGTGGAAATAGACTTGGTAAAGAAACATAATCATTCCCTGGAACTGTGGTTTAAAACAATCCTGTTTTATTTTCTCAGACCTCAGGCCCACAGGAATTTAGGCCTTCTAGTCTAGTATTTTTTTTTTCTTTTTTGGTTTAAATCTATGATTTCACTAAGGAAGAAAGGGAGGGAGGAAGAAAGGAAGGAAGAGGAAGGAAGGAAGGAAAAAAGGTGCTCAAAACCCATTTTGAAGTTAAGGAAATTGAGGCAGAAAGAGGTTAAGTGACTTGGCCAGGGTCCCACACCTGACTCCACTCTAGGTACTCTATCTAGGAAGCTTCTACTGAAGAAAAAACTCTACCAATCCAGGCAAGCACTTTTCTCTGAGTTTATAGTCTTAGCTGTGTAGCACATTGAGAAGTTAAATGACTTTCCCAGGGTCATATAATCAGTATGTGTCAGAAACAACTTAAATCCAGATTGTTCAAACTCATAAGCTAGCCCTCTTTCTCATAGGTTATAAATACCTCTTGGTAATAGTACCTAGTACTTATATAGCACTTGAATGTTTTCGTAGTGTTTTACTTACATGATTTCATTTGACCCTCAAAACAGCCTAATGATGGTATTTTCATCCCCATTCTAGAGATGAGGAACCTGAGATTTAGGAAGGTTAAATACCTTTCCCAAAATCACATTACTAGTAAATGTCAGAAGCAGATGGAGGATTTGAACCCAGGTCTTTCTGACTCCCAAGTCAAGCATCATTTTTTTCCATTGTACCAAATTGCTTCTCAGTTGGCTCTGTCCCCCAATTTGGAAGTCACCTATTTTACAAAATCATGGAAATCTGGATGCTTGGACCCCCAGAATTTCTTTTTTTCCCATTTGCCCACCTGTCCTCTCTGTCCTGGTTGGTTAGCCTAAAGCTAATTTCTAGTCATATCGTAAAAACCTGACTGTGGCTCTTAGGGTGAAATTTCTTCCCCAAAAGCCATTTCTTATATGTAGACTGGCCCAGGATCATGATGACTTAATTCTGTTCTGTGTGAGGTCTCTTTCCAGGCTTCCATTTTACTTCTGGAAGCTTGACTCTAGTTTTCAAATGATTGGAAGAATTGAGATAATAAGCAAACCTTGAGATCATTCCCTGGAGCTAAAATGGCAGTCATGCCATCTTTCCCTGAATCAGTTCTATTGATTTTATCCCCCTCGTGCTCTCAGAGTGCATAGCTCATATGCTAATCCCCATGAGGTAGTTTTCTAGGATCCAGTTAGATTCACTCAGTATGTTTATTTCTCCTTTTGCAAAACTGGCATAAACATATACAGCCTTATTTACCTCTATTAAAACAAATGGAATATTCAGCATAAAAATGCTCTGGTTTTCTTACATTCACTATTTTAACTTAAATGCAGTAAAATATTATATGTTATTATATTATTAAAATCAATCAAAAACAATAAATTAAATGCCCAGAATGTGCCAGGCACTGAGCTAGGATCTAGTAATACAAAAACAGGAATGAAACAGTCTCTGCCTTCATAGAAGTTATATCGCATCAGGGGAGAGAAAATGTAAGTACATAGGAAATGTAATCTTTTGGGAGGAACTCTAGGGGATTTCAAAAGACCTAATGCTGGAAGTGGCATTTGAACTATGATATGGTATAAATAATAATTTTTAGAGGATAGGGACAGGACCTGTGGTTTCACTGTTGGAGAGAACTCATTGATGAGTAAACTTCTACCAATGCAGGTCAGTACCTTTGCTCCAATTTGCTAATTGTCTTATCAGGTTTGCTGAAGCACTGAAAGGTTAATAAACTGACCCCTGATGGCACATGTGTCAGACGCTGAAGAATTTAGGTCTTCCTGACTCCAAAGCCATTTTCTTTCCTATGCCACATTGGGTCTCTTCAATAACATATAATAATAATTATTATTTTTACTATTACAATATATGCATATTATCTTCTGATGGTGGTGATGGTGATGGTGGTGATGTTATTTTGAAAAGTGACACACTTTCTAAGCAGATAACACATCCATATAGAACTTTAAAGTTTACCAAACACTTTTCTTGCAGGAACTCTGAGACAGGTAGTTTGATGGGTTTCAGCATCTTTAATTTACATGTGGGAAAACAGGATCAGAGAACTTCATGAATCCAAGTCATCAGAGTCCCAGGCAAACCTCTTTGAAAAACAGCTCAGGAATTTGAATATTTATATACCAGAATCCTTTTATCCTAGAAAGAAGAATATACTCTAACTCTCTAAACATATCAGTATTCTTTATTTGAGTTCATTCAATATGTAATGACATTTTAATCAAGACGCTGGTATTTATAACCACCAGTGCTTACATAGAGGCTACATAGTTTATTGGTACTAGGGGTGAGGAGACAAAAATTTTAGTCCTAGATCTCACACTGCCTATATGTGTGATCTTAGAAGAGTCATTTAATTTCTTTTCTGGGCTTCAGTTTCTTCATCTGTGAAATGAATGGTTTGAATTCAATACTCTTTAAATTTCCTTCCTAAAACTCAAATTCTTTGAGTGTGTGAAAGTTTTGATCCTGGTTCAATACTAAAATTCAGTTTCTTTGAAGAGAAACAAGAGATTTAAGGGCTTATTTTTTAGATGTTAAGTCCAGAATATCTGAACTTCAACATTTATACTGAAAAGACTACTGACACGCTTAAATTACAAATCTAACCAGCAAAAGATTCTCCTGTCCACAGCAACCATATGTGCTGTAGTAAAAAGAGTACTGGACTTGGAGTCAGGAGAAACCTGAGTTGTATCCTAGCTATGATTACTTTTTATGTCATTTTTGTTGTCACTTAACTTCTCTGACCTTCAGTCTCTTTATCTATAAAATGGGAGTGATAATAACTGGACTAGGTACTTCATTCTGTTGTTATGAGGATCAAATGAAAGCTATTCTTATTCATACTGTGATCATTTGACCAACCAATAAAAATGTAGGTTCAGAATATTAAAGAAATTAATAAATCTTCTCATACATTTAATCTTATGCTTTGATCTATCATCAAGAATATTCCTTATTCTTATAATAAAGAATCTTGGTTTCATGTTTCAGACTTCATTTTTTATTTCATATTTTCCTCTTGGTTTCATCTTTCAGACTTCATTTTTTATTTCGTATTTTCCTCGGGACAAGGATTCTGTTCTCTTCTTTTGTACTGCTGTCCCTGTTCCCACTCCCACCATTAAAGCTCCTCATGGTGACTTGCTGTAGATGCTCAATAAGCAATGTTTGAATTCATAATTTCTCCAGTTGTGTTAATATTTGGATATTGAACTATGGCACAGAAAAATATCATGTGGCATTTCAAATAGAGAATAGGAACTAGACCTGTGATTTCATTCATGTGTAGAGGGAGTTCCCAGATATGGAAAATCCTCCCACCCACACAGGTCAATACTTTCTCTGCATCTTCTCGTCTTAGAAAAGAACCTAT